TCGAGGTCGGTACCACTCAAGAGGAAGTCCCTTCGCAGTAGGATGGATCGGATGTCAATCTTCTAGGTTCCCAGGGTGAGCTGTCCTCTCATCTCGGGAGTAGCTGATGCTTCTTCTCTCTTCCTTGTTGTTTGTGTTTGTTTGTTTTTCRTACAAGCCACTGGGCAAAGCTACAAGGTATATAATTCTTGGCTCTGTCCTTTTCTTTTTTAATGAAATTGTTCCTTCTCCAACTCTGTAYTTCGCGTCTTGTTCTTCTCTTACTTTTTCCTTTAGCTTTTGAACTTGCATTTGTAGAGTTGATCACATTAAATGATTTCACTTCGCACCTCTAACTCGTAAGTTTAAAAGATTGAGTTTGGAAGGAACTTTGTTATATCGCACCTTTTACTTAAATGCAAACCTTAAGAATTTCCTTTATTGACTTCAGGATTTCTCCTCGAACTCGGATATCCATAACATTGAGCAATTAAACTTTTTTTACATCGCACCTTCAACTTAGACATTCAAAGGATTGAATTTTAAGTTCATGAGTAATTTTGACATCGCACTTCGAACCCGTAGGCTTAGAGGATTGAATTTTATAAAACTTACCTTGGCAGTAATTACCTTGCCAGGTTTAAGCCCTATGGGTGTCGTTGGCCGCCATTTAATTTCTGATCAAACTCGGAGTCATGAAATTCAATAACCCCATTTATTAAAGTTCCCTCCCCTTGAAAATTTTTACAAGTCCATTTTAGGACTACTTTAACATCTCAAGGGTAATAACGCTTTAAGTGCTCTACGTTCCATGGATGCTCAAGCACKTTTCCTTCCAGATCGGCCAACATATATGTTCCTAGTCGAACTATGCYTTTAACTTCGAACGGTCCCTCCCAACTTTGGTCAAGGGTGTCCACGTGCCTCTGAATCTTCCTTAAGACCAAATGTCCGACTTGAAAACTTCGAGGTCGAACTCGGGTGTTGTAATGTCTGGCCATTCTGTTTTGGTACTCTACCAAGCGTAGCTGAGCCATTTCCCTCTTTTCTTCTAATAAGTCAAGGTTAAAGAGCATTTCTTCCTCGTTTCTCACTGGTTCGTACTGAGATGGCTTATGTTCAGTTTCCTACAAATGTACTTAAACTTTGCGTTATCGAACTGCTTCCCGTTGTCTGTCACGATGGCGTTCGGTATACCAAAGCGACATACGATGTTTATCCAGATGAACAATGTGACCTTGGACTCTGTGATGTGAGTAAGCGCCTCGGCCTCGGCCCATTTTGTGAAATAATCCACAGCGCCAACGGCAAATTTGGTTTTTCCTTTGCCTAGGGGAAAAAGACCTATGATGTCTACCCCCTATTGTGCGAATGGCAAGGGGGCCGAGATAGGGGTAAGCAGTTCGGGAGGCTAATGAATAATGTTCGCGAAGCGCTGGCAATTGTCGCAAGTTTTCACAAACTGCCTGGCATCTTGATCGACAGTGGGCCAATAATATCCTTGTCGGACCACCTTGACCGATAACGACCTGGCTTCTGAATGGTTGCCACATACTTCTTCGTGAATTTCTCTGAGGATGTAATTCCCCTCTTCAGGAGTTACACACTTAAGGAGAGTCAGGGAGAACCCTCGCCGGTACAATGCTCCATCTCGGAGTATGAACCGGGCTGCTCTTCGCGCCATTTTCTTATGTTCTTTCAAGTCTTGCGGTGGGTTTTCTTTAATGAACTCCATGATTGGATCCGTCCATGTGGGTACTGATGTGTCGATGTCCATCATGTCTGGCTCCAAAGTCGAAGGATTATCCAAGATCTCGACCGGGACCGTTCTGGCTAGATCGGTCTCATATGCCGACGCCAATTTGGCCAAGTCATCTGCGTTTGAATTCTCCGATCTCGAAACTTGATTCACCTCGTAAGTTTTAAACTGGGTGAGGTGCGATCTGACTTTACTTAAATACTTTTCCATCTGGGAGTTTTTTGTTTGATACTCCTCATTCATTTGATTTACCACTAACTGGGAGTTGCTAAAGACCTTGATGTGGGTGGCCCTCAGTCCTTTGGCAACACGGAGTCCTGCAAGAAGTGCTTCGTACTCGGCCTCGTTGTTTGAAGTCCGAAAATTGAAACGTAGGGCATACTCGAACTGCATGCCATCYGGTGCGAGCAAGAGGATTCCCGCTCCACACCCTTTCTCATTGGAGGATTCGTCTACATWGATCGTCCATGGGAGGTCGGACTCGGCAGACAGAGATGGCAGGGTGAGCTCCGCGATGAAGTTCGCGACTGCTTGCCCCTTCAACGCAGTTCTGGCCCGAAATGGATATCGTACTCGCTCAATTCCATTGCCCACTTCATCAGRCGTCCTGACATTTCTGACTTGTGGAAGATGTTCTTCAGCGGCAAGTTAGTRAGCACCACAATGGTGTGTCCTTGGAAATACGGCCTAAGTCTTCGGGTCGAGGTGACCAAGGCGAGGGCCAGCTTCTCCATTTGTGGATACCTGGTATCAGCCTCGGTCATGGCCTTACTTGTGTAATTAACCGGACTTTGGCATACTCCATCTTGCTTGATTAGGGCCGAGCTGACGGTGCTATTGGATACCGCCAGATATAAGTGGAGCTTATCTTTCGGCAAGGGCTTGRCGAGTAGTGGTGCCGAGCAGAGATAGGTCTTTAATTGTTCAAGTGCTTGATCGCACTTTGTCATCCATTCAAATGGTCCCTTCTTTCTTAGAACTTTGAAGAAAGGAAGACACTTATCTGTTGATCTCAAGAMGAATCTATTCAGAGGTGCAATCCTTCCATTGAGGCATTGGAGTTGCTTAAGAGTTTTGGGTGCTTCCATCTCGAGCACGACCTTTATCTTCTCTGGGTTAGCTTCTATCCCACGGTTATTTACCATGAAGCCAAGGAACTTACCCGAGGAGACTCCAAAGGCACACTTGGTTGGATTAAGCTTCATTTGATACTTTCGTAGAACTTCGAAGGCTTCGGTTAGATCAGAAAGATGCAACTTTGACTGCTTGCTCTTGACAATCATGTCGTCCACATATACTTCCATGTTCCGACCGATCTGCTTGGCAAACATCCTATTTACCATTCTTTGGTAGGTCGCACCTRCGTTTTTTAGGCTGAAGGGCATAACCTTTTAGCAGTACAGACCTTGGTCTGTTATGARCGCGGTATGATCTTGATCTGGCACATGCATTTTAATTTGATTGTATCCGAAGTAGGCATCCATGAAGGTGAGCAGCTCATGCCCGAYAGTTGCATCTACGAGCTGGTCGATCCTCGGTAGTGGGAAACAGTCTTTTGGGCATGCCTTATTTAAATTTGTAAAATCKACGCACATTCTCCACTTCCCGTTAGATTTTTTAACTAGTAAACATTAGAGAGCCACTCGGGATACAAAATTTATCTTATATATTCAACTTTTAAAAGTTTGTTTACTTCCTCAACAATTACATCACTCCTTTCCTTATTTACAAGTCTTCTTTTTTGCTTTACAGGTCAGAATGATGGGTCTATGTTGAGGCGATGCACCATGATCTTTGGGTCTATGYCAGGCATGTCCTCGTCGGACCATGCAAAAACGTCTGAGTTGGACCTGAGGAAGTTGATCAGCTCCTCTCTATCAGTGGCCCCCAGCTTGGTTCCTATGCTTACTTGTTTTTCAGAGCTAAGCAAAGGAACAAGCTCAAGCTCCTCTGTTGGGGGAGAGAACTCCCTTTTGCTTTCCCTAGGTAGGTTGGCCTCTGACTCTTGCTTCTTRGTCCAATCGACTTGTTTTTCGAGAGCGCACACCACTAATCCTTTGAGTGCGGAGGCATAACACTCCCTTGAAGTCTTCTGCTCTCCTCGGACTGTGCCCACTCCATTGGGAGTTGAATACTTSAAGACTTGATGAAGCGTTGAGGGAACAGCTGTTGGGATTTTCTCTACCTTTAAAAAGATTAGAGACTCGTACAAGCGCTCACGGTCACAAGTAATACTCGGAAGTAATCCAAGGTCAAATCCTCAGGGACTTGTTGCTTTTCAAAATCAAGTAATGCAGTGAAATGATTCAAATATGCAATTGTGATTTAGGAAGAAAATAATGGTGAAATGTTGTTGTTTGGGGTTTTAACTATTAAGCAATTTAATGAAACTCAGCCTCCTTGTCTCCTACCTTAGTTTTGATGCAAAACATGGAAACACACTATGTTGGGAAAATGCACCAGGCGCAATTCCTGACTTTTCTTGGGATTTGAGTTCTACTCTTTCACTATCGCTTTTGGTT